GCAGTAAGATCAGTGCGCATTGCAGTGCAACTTGACCCGACACGCGGAGACATGCTCCACTCTCCTTCAAAACCGCTGGGACATTCAATGACAGATCAGTTTCCATTCAGTCTTGGTAGTGACTGACATACTGCGATCAATATTTAATATAAACACAGTTATAGTTTGAGGAAAGTCGATTTTAATTATATTTAATTTAATATACAATTAATTACAAATTAACATTCTAGCCTTTTTCTCCTTTTTTTTTCCCTTGGCACTACAGCCCCAGTGGGTTTAGGCCTGCCTCCATGAACTTCTCCGTTCACTTCGGTTTTTCTAGATCTTACACACTCGGTAGGACTCCTTGGGCGGGTGATCAGCTCGTCGCAAGGCCTCTACCTGCACACAAACACAGAAAAACGCACACACACAAACTAAACATCCATGCCCTGAGTGGGATTTGAACCCACGATCCCGGTTTCCAAGCGAGCGAAGACAGTGCATGCCTTAGACCGCTCGGCTACCGTGACCGACGGCCTTTCTCTTTTACATTGTAAAATAAAAGAAAATACTTTTAGTCACCGAGACTATGTTAATGAGATTATTACATTTCTCAGCATAAAACTGGAAATAAAAGCAAGACGTTGTAATTTGTAAATGTACAATTAATTTTCATTACGGTGAATTAATTAACGATTTATATCGATTCCTGCTGTTGTACTATGATGCAATATAAATCCAATACGGAAATATGATGAATATTGTCACGCAGAATATGTGATTATAGACTGTGTTTGGATTGGTGAATAGATTTATTGACCACTTACAGGATGTAACTGCAAGTAACTGTAACACTGCCGTTATTTCCATACTTTACGGTCTTGTTACTAGAAGTTTTCTGGTAATGGCCCCGACAAATGCCATTCCTCTGCCTTCAGCCCAAGTCCTCTCTTCACAGACTCCCGTACAGAACTGGACCTAACCTTTTCCTTGCTTATAACATCTCGGCACTGACCACGTAGAAAACACAGCTCTTCTATTGTTACGTTCAACTGTTGCATTATTAAGAATCTGCTGGCTAGAAACGGGAACGTTTTTACCGAGCCGTTGCCCATAAACGGCCCTGGTGTACCAGTCCATCTAGCGGTCTTTGCATAGCAACGGTTCCTCAAACTACATTATTCTCAGAGCTGAAGACAGTATTGCTAGTTTCATGAGTAAGTTCGAGTCGGACTGATGTTTGGAGCTGTTGTTGGTATATCAGGATGGTTATAATTAGCACTTTGCTTCTGTCAACCAAACAGAACTACAAGACTATCTACGGTGGAAGAAAATGGTGTAAAGACAAAAGCAGAACTTTGGTCCTCGATAAAGTAACACATTGGAGCCATTTGTTCAGAATTCTAGCCTGGCAGCTTCCTGGAGAAAATCTGGTTTTGAGTACCCGATTCCCTGCAGCAGTGCTCTGTGAGTCCGGCTTTCCAACAGCGAAAAACATGAAACTAAATGCAAGGAATAGACGGGAAGTTGGTAACGGCTTGAAATGTGCACTTAGCGTGACAGAACCTCATATCTCCAAGTTATTCAAGCGAAAGTAGTGCAAAATTTGCGACTGAGAAAATTGTTTGATAAATAATATTCGTCACGTGTTTTCATTTGCTGAACAACGGACCTAACATTGGCATATAGTATAACATGTGTTTACTTTTATTCAACATGATCCATAAGAAATAAAAATAATGTGCCACGCCACCTGACAGCCGGAATTGTTCAGCCAAGATAGACGTTTATTGCTAGGCAACGACTCGGCTACTTCCATGAAGGTCACTGGTACATCTGACACGTTTATTTAATCACTTCCTTCGGCTTCCCATTTTCCAAAGCATTGGAAGAAAGCAAAGGTTATATCGTTACCGAAACCCGGCAAGGACCCAAAATTTCTTCAAAATTTACGCCCGATTAGCCTCTTGTCTACAATAGGCAAGCTATTCGCAAATGTTATTCTGAAAATAGTCGAAAGGCACATTGAAGTGTGGGATTGTCGTATGAATGAAGAGACAACCACTAGTTGAACTGTCCTGTAGGATTTATTGCAGCTGCACAGTATACACAGACGGATAACAATAGTGAACTGCTTGAACACTGAACTGGTATTGTAGAACGGTAGAACTAGACTCTAGACTGTCACTGCAAGTCAGTGTATCTTCTTATGTAGCCTGGAGTCGGACATATGGAAAACGGTTACGTAATAGGTGCTGCTATTGCCGGTTACCGTGTTTACTAGTTCCCTAGCAACCGCTGTTTACTTGCTTTTGCCTAGCAACCGTTGTTTACTCGTTGTTGCTAAGCAATGACGTTTGCGTTGTCACACTTGCTTGACTGTGGGCAGTTCCCACAGAAGAAAAAGGGCCGGATTAATGCAAGTCGGACCACGTAACCTTAAATTTCAACAATAACATATCTACAGCTGCTGTATTCTTGGATATTGAAAAGGCCTTTGATCCAACATGGCACATTGGTTTGCTGTATAAATTATCTACATTACAATTTTCGATAAGTCTAATCAAGCTTATTAGCCCTTTCCTTTCTCAGAGAAAATTCAGAGTTTCAGTCTACGCCAAGAGACACCTGGTGTCTGTCTAGGTCTCTTTGCTGACGGCACCTGTATGTATGCGACAGACCGCAAAGAGGGTTACGTTCTCAGAAAGTTGCAGCGAGGTCTCAGTGTTATTGAGACGTGGTGTGGGCGCTGGAACATAAAAACCAATAAAGATAAAACTAGACGCATCTTACATTGAATGGGCAGAATATCCCTTTTGTCAATCACGTAAAATACCTGGGTGTAATCTTCGATAACAGGATTACGTGGAGACTCCACATAGAAATGATTGAAGCCAAGGCCTTCAGAACATTTTTCAGAATCTACTCCCTATTCAAAAGTGAGCGTTTAAAAGCAAACATTAAACTATCCCTCTATAAGGTACTGATCAGATCAGCAATGACTTACGCTTGTCCCGCCTGGGAATTACCTGCAGATGTCTACCTACTAAAATTGCAGAGCATGCAAAACAAGGTTTTGCGCACCATTGTAAATTTTCTAAGGTACACACCGGTCCGCGATTTGCACACAGTTTTCAACTTTCCATATGTATATGATTATATAACAGAAGTGTACAGACGTCAAGCAGAAGTCATACAAAATCATGAAAATGAACATGTTAGCTGTATAGGACAAGGTTAAGCCAGACACAGAAAATATAAGAAGCTTAACCTTGGTGGTGGTCAAGCTTACGACCGTTCAAATGACTAAGTTGTCGTTGTAGCATAAGATATGTAAGTTACGCATGATCTGCTCTGTAAAGCCTGTACTGACAGAGGATTTGTGTGTAGTGCAAAAGGAAGAATTTTCTATAACATGCTATACGTGTGAAATACACACTAGACGAAAGGTCAAGTGCATTCATAAGAGACAACCCCATCTTCTCGTCTGAGAGGACGTTACATAAGGACTATTACCGCAATAGTTCAGTCGTGGTCCTCAAGGGGCCTGACGCCTTGACGAACTGAATAGCGGTAAACCGACAGTAGTAAAGTAACTTTGACTTTGACTTTTGACAGAGTTTGAAGAGACTGATAGGTGGACCCCCTGTGGAGACGGGTTCGAATACCTCCACCGTAGCCCTGCGAGTAGGAGGCGACGGAAAAGGGACCCATTGCCGGGGTTATAACTGGGCCACCCTTTCCCTGGGGAATATAAATACGGGGACCTGGCCCTCCAGGTTGGGGGAGTCTCGAATCTGAGACAGCAGAATATGGTCATGAGCTCCGCGGGACTCGGACCCGAGAATGACTATGTTGGCTATTGCCAGCAGCAATTGTAAACGATAGAACCATCCTCTCGTCAGAGAGGATGTTACGTAACAACTATAACCGCAAGTGTTCAGTTGAAGAAGCTACAGATCGTGGGTCAGAAGGGACTTTACGCCAATACGAATTGATTGGCGGTAAGCCGCCAGTCATAAAATACTTCTGACTCTGACTCTGACTCGACAGAATTAGAACTGAGGGAGCCTCTTGAGATGGCAGTCGAAGATGATTGAGAAGAAAGGAATTAGGCTGTGCAAAGAAGACTTCATGTGTGTTGCAGTTACAGCGAGAGTGGTATAAGTACTGTGTTGAAATCCGTTGCCAGGATACGACTAGTGAAGGCTGATAATTCTGGTGTGTGTGTAACGGTGAACTGTAAAGTGGGCAGATTAGCGATAACCTGTATTAATTGTAGTTATGAGTTGGGTTTGTAAGAGCAATAAATCCAATTGTCTAATCCAAACCCCGTCTAATAATCACATACCCATAAAAACGTGACAACACAATAAAAATAGCCAATTGTAAATTTCTTTTAGTGGATTAGTCACTTAAAAAAAGACGGTTTATTGGTTAAGCGTAAGGGATAACAGTGCCAGAGGTTTATGATATCACTCCTCTGTGCTTCCGGTTCATCAGTCTGCTTGCGACTGCTGCCTGGTGACACAGACAAGAGAATATTTATCTACCACAGAAAGGTGCAGTGGATGCAAAGGAAAAAACTCACGTGCGCCCCTTGCGATCCTGTCGGTCGGGTTCCGCCCCGAAGTTCAGGAGCAGCTGTGTCGAGTCTGCGTGCCCCAGAGTCACGGCGTAGAAGAGCGCAGTACAGCCGTTGCTGTCGATGACGTCCACCTCAGCACCACAAAGCGTCACCAGCGTCTCTATGCAGTCCGTGTGTCCTCTGCTGGCTGCGCAATGCAGAGCTGTACAGACACAAGTCTCTTTGTTAGCTAATACATTGTTGCGGTTATCTGTTGTTCAATATGAAGAACAGACTATACGATGTTTGTTAAATGCCGCCGCTTTCTGAGTCAGCTTTCCCACAGTGACTATACGAGGGTTATTCAGAACTAGGGTTTGTAATTAGCTCTCACACAAACTATGATGAAAATTTATAATTTTATTTTGATCTCACTATATGTTTCAACATCAAAGCGGTCGGAAAATGTATAAGATATTTTGAAACGCCTTGTTTTATTACAATCCAAGTGATTAATTAGAATATCATTACTATTTCGTCAAAAATTAGGCCATGCGCCCTGTTACGATTTCATACCATCGAGGAAAGCTGAAGTTGCCCTTGTGCTAATTAAGCATCATGCCGTGAAGACGTGGGCGTATGGGGTTGTGGAGTTATAGCTCCACGCATACTTAACCTCTGGTTCAGAAAAACGGTGACTGTACAGCTTCACACCTCGGCCGCTTTACCACAGAGAAATTGCCGCCCACATCCACTGGATATGAGGCCGAGAAGAATATCTTACTCCTGTAGGGAAGTGATCCCCGATTCTTCGGTTTTCGAGCGTAGCTGCTATACCGACTGAGCTATCGATCTCCTCAGTGGTCTTGCTAGATTTCTCTTCCTGCAAAGCTTGTTTGCAGAAGTCTCTTCTGGTGTTCTGCTGTCTTCCATTGATCTTGCAAGGTTTTCTAATCGCCCAATTTTCCATGCATTCTTGTTCGCATTCCAAGCTTGAGGTCATGTCGTTAGGTATTATCCTGTCACGTGTAGGGGTTACGCGTGATGAAAGTAACGGGTTGTAGACCGGATGACTGGATTTGTTGGCACTTGAGTTACAATCTACCTTAAGTACACTGAATTATAAAGCTATTGCTACTCTACACACTTTCAGTTCAGTGTTGTACAAGCACTAGGATCCTCTGTCTTCACTAGTCGTCTCCTGGTAACGGATCTCACCACAGAACTAGCACTTCAAATCACTATGAAATCTTCTTGTTATTTCGTCTTCAGTCAATCTGTACTCACCTAATCTTCATTATTCACTAAGGATATGCTCCGTTCTCGTCCGTGTACCCTCAACTGCTGAACTAATGTAAGCTACGGTCCTCGTTATATAGGCTCCGCATGGCCTAACATGTAGCACAATTTATGCTTACGTTAAATATGTAAGATATACAAAAACATGTGATGTCTTCATTGAAGATATTCCCGATTTATTTGTTGTGTTGGCGATTATAACACATGAGAAACAAAGGAAGTCTTGTGCCATCCGCCGACGTCTTGGGAACCCAAGGGGCGAGTCCTCTATTCAGCCAAACTAGTGATGAATGAGGAAAGTTTCTTGGAGCTGAGACACTGTCATTGCTCTGTCGGAAAGACTTCTGCTGTTAATTCGCTCAGCACTTTAGTAAGTTACATTTATCCGGAAAAGTTACACACGACTTTGAGATGCTCTGAGGATTTCATTCAAAATGTGAAGAGAGTGGCGACACGGTTTTGCAATGGAGATGTGATCATAGCCCACCCTACTTCTGGTAACCAGGTACATATTTCAAGTCAGAGTACATGACATCACAACCAGCTGATTCCATTCTCAGTGTTAACAGCCACGTCCAACAAAACACCGCACCGATAATTACCCGTAAAACCTAACTTAAATGCAGGCTATTAACTGTACATCCTACATGCAGGCATCGAATCTACCTCTCCAGCTTCCAGATATTTTGCATGAAATCTGTCAAAATTAGACCGATGTCACTTATATTCTAAAAAAGAAAAATCTGCTCCTTACACACGTTCAGAATTAATTCTTCAGTCTTCTTCAGGTACGCATAGGCATTCTTAACATTCTTTCTTTAATTGTTACTCTCCAAGCAATCTTGTTCAAAAATACGTTCATAGATTTTATTCTTAGGTTTCCATGAGACCTATGCTTTACCACTGTTGTGTCAGAAAGCACCCACCTGTCAGTCCGTCCTTGTCGTCGGCCTCCACATTTGCTCCGGCATTCACGAGGGCTAAGATGGCATCCGCGCTGCCTGAAGGACAGGAAGCACTGGAGGTTGAGTCTGCGTGCAGCGAAAACAGGCCGGTAGGTGGCCAGGCTCACCCAGTTAGTAGCAACACAACAGGTAAGACACTCAACATTCAACTGACTGACTGCCTGGCAGAACACTACATTACTCCTAATAACTAATGTTTGGATAGACAGGTACTACAGGGAGCTTGGTAGCAATCTGTTTAGGTGTGCTGGGGTCATTTGGCACAGGTTTGGTCGAACCTATACCTAAGTTTTCAAAACAAATACAAAATATTCTCTGGAAGCAAGTCGGCCCCTTACAGGGGACACAAAGCAAGCGCAAAGCTGGGCGTGGGTGGGTTCGGCCGTTACAGACCCGGACAGTTGATCATGTGAAGCAGTATTTCAGAATTCTGACAGCATAAAATTTGGTACAATCGGTAAATATACAGAACCCTGATCGCTGTAATGTTTTTCAAACCATACAACTACACTCCCGCCATTAATTGTGGTGCTTTAAATTCACGAGAAGCAATCTTCGGCCGATTTAATGCAAGTAGCGGCCGAGGTACCTGTCAGAAGCCAACATATTCACATCCTTGTAAGGAATTGTCAGTGCCCCAAAAACTAAGGAACCACGCCATGAAGGCACATGGTGGCGAGGTGAAGTTAAGCACACTCTGGATTCTGACGCTAGATCGTGCTGAACTGCAGGGGAATACATTCTGGAACTTGGGATAAAGAGGCAGGCAGGTGCATAACTCCATCATTTAAACCACTGCTTTCCTGTCTGTAGCATTCTCATGGTATTGAACGACGCGCGAACTGACTAGGGGATGAGCATACAAACTGCCCTAAACGGCCAAGGCCATGTGAAAAACGTGTTTCTCGCTAACTAACACTCAAGTCATTATTTCTCGGTAGTTCAACTGAAGTACGCTGCACAGTGTGTGTTCTGAACACGTGCGCATGTACGCCTTGAAGAACTTGCACGTCTTCTCAGCCAGTTACCGGCTGCAGAGTATGTCCATTTTGCTTCGCCAAGATTCTGCTCTGCCTGAAACCTATGAAAGGTAAAGCTGTCCCAGTAACACAGGGTTGCGAGACGTCGAGGCTCCCACATTTTCTAGAGAATCGGCTCACAGATGGTGGTGAGGCTGTCAGCCTTACACGCCGGCCGCCCTTTACCCCCAGGAAGATTCGTGGTTCATTTCAGTTAGAGGCTGAGTCGACCCCAGGGCCATAGTGAGGTTGGAGAGATTAGGTAAATTGAAAAATTCACCCCCACCTGAAACCTATAAAAATTAAAAACGCATTTGAAGAAAGCAGTATTCTGGGATTTGGCACCGTGTATATGTGGGTTAACACCACATATACACGGTGCCAAATCCCAGAAGACTGCTTTCTTCATAGTCACCTCCGTGAAAGCCTCAAATCTTACAAAAACGCATTTGTTTACTGACACTTGTAACTGCATCTGCTTCAAGCTTTAGACGTTGTCTCCACATTGTACTCGCAAATCATTTTGGACAGCAACTTTCCTCACTTGTTCTGTAACATTCTTGCATCTACATTCTTCCGTTGTCACGTTTCTATGTCTATTAAGCACTGCGAGATGAGGGGAGAGCTTTCTCAAACATAAGGACCGGTGTTACTCAGCGAAATATTTCGTGCATAGCATGCAAAGTGTTCGGCCACAAAATCTACTGAGCCCTAGCATGAGGCTCACATCAGCATGAAGATTACCATAATATAAATACCGTCTCAGACTACGAGGAGCCATCATATCACGTATCTGTTGGATGCCTAGCATATTGTTTGTGGGCGCTGGGTCACCTGTAGAATATTTTACGTAGTATGAAGCTTATGACACAGTGAGGAGTTGGCTGGTTGGTGAGTTACAGGGCTGCAGCACTTTAGTCGTTGTGAACTGTTGCTGTGGGATGCTAGCAGCTGAGGCCGGGGACAGTTCGGGATATCAGAGGAAGGGAAACGTCTGCCGTTGGAAGTCGCTGCCAAGGAACGGCTAGTAAAGACTGTAACAGATGAGAAGACCTAGTGTGTCCCATAGTGATCTGTGAAGCTGTAGAACAGTGACAGCATAATCAGCACTTCTATTTATGAGTTGTAAGAGAACAATAAATTCGACTACAAAAGCAAACCCCTCTTATAGTCACACGCATACACGTGAAAATATGTTGCCACTGTATGTATAATTGAACCCCAATTCTTCGGTTTTCAAGCTTGTAGCATACTCAATATTCAAATGAGTTAACCCGGCTCCTAAATTGCTGAATGCTGCAGGGTACATATGGCTCAAATTATTTTAGCTTATGAGCAAAGCAGCATACAAATTATAAAGGCGTCATTGAATTGTTCCAGAAAATCGCCTGAGTGGAGATAATATTTGAGACGAGCAGTTACTATAGGATTCTGACGATGGTGTATAACACACTGATATATTGGGTTTTTGGACTTTATCCATCGTCCTGGTTTTTAAGATAACTAATAAAAACACGACGTTTCGGAAACTGGATCTGTTTCCGTCCTCACTGGACCAGTGATTGAGGCTAGCTCTTTCTAACGGACCCAACAGAATAGGTGTTTTCCTTCACCTGAGGACGGAAACAGATCCAGTTTCCGAAACGTCGTGTTTTTATTAGTTATCTTAAAACCAGGACGGATGAAGTCCAAAAACCCAACATATCATTTGAGACGAGGTTTCCTAAAAAATGTGTCTTTTGTTGCACACGTTCTGAAGAATTCACGAACAGCGCCGGAAAATAAGTCATCACGAGACACATGTAGCTGAGTGGCTTCGTATCAAGGGCATCTGGGCACTTGTACTACCCAGAACCGTACTAAGCATTATTAAAGTAAAGCCCTTCGTGAGAATGACTTGTCAGAGTCACACAAATGTGGCTGGCCTGAAATGATGGATGGAGGTTTCTGAGAACTTCATGGCATCCGTTTCGTCTTGAAGGCCAGTTGTTTTCCGTCACAGGCTTTACCGACAGCTTAGGCCTGCATCTCAGTACGCAATAACTGTTCATTTCTGTTCGGGGGCCCGGAAATTGTAGGAATTCACCTATCGCACTTCCGCTGTTAGACCACCTGATCCCCTGGTGCCACGTATTGCGTTTCCATCACCTGTCTGTGGAAGTCCTAGGTAAGCTTTATATTGTGGTACGTGGAAACATTGCTAGGCAACTACCACGAAATGAGCAATTATACAACAACCGTTGCTAAGTAACGGATCCGCAGACAAGCATGTTTCTACGGCAGCAATTGCCCTGCAATAGAGGATGGGTGTTTTCTGTGCGGTCCATGCCAAGAGGTTATAAGCAGGATAAGTTAGAAGTAGTCAGTCGGTTGGTGAGTCAGTGAGTTAGATAACAGCTGGGGTTCAGTCTTGTGAGCTGCTGTTGTGAGAATTTGGTAGCTGAGGGCGGGGACAGTTCGGGAACCCAGAAGAACGGAAACGTCCACCCCTGAAGCCGCTACCAGTCAGCCGTTAATGAGGACTGTAACAGACTGAGAAGACCTTATGTGTCCTATAGTGATTTGTGAAGTGTGTATAAGAGTGAGAACAGAATGCGCACTTACAGTCATAGTCATACACGTGACAATATGTTGTATTTCCTATAGGCCTGCTCTACAACCTAAAGCACTGATGTGAGAAAAACAAACCGACAGCGACTGCATGAACATGCGAACGAGCAGTATAACATTCGCAAATGAAGTTTGTTTGTACTTCATCCTTCTCACGTGTATTAAATTCTTTCAGCGTTCTTGCACTCCAAGCGCTAGACAAGTTTCCATAACCACGTACGTGGATTCCAGTGTACGTGTGTTATTCTGCGCTCCTTACGTCACGGGCGCGAACTAGAAGTCTATATGGCAGGTCCCGTGAATGTGTGTCTGTCCGTTGNTGAACATGCGAACGAGCAGTATAACATTCGCAAATGAAGTTTGTTTGTACTTCATCCTTCTCACGTGTATTAAATTCTTTCAGCGTTCTTGCACTCCAAGCGCTAGACAAGTTTCCATAACCACGTACGTGGATTCCAGTGTACGTGTGTTATTCTGCGCTCCTTACGTCACGGGCGCGAACTAGAAGTCTATATGGCAGGTCGCGTGAATGTGTTTCAACTCGACAAACGTCGGAAGGAATTTCATCATGAAATCTGGTATAAAAATAGCAGTTTAACTTTCCATGTGTACAGAGTATCTCAGGAGGAAATGTCAGTATTCTGGGAGGTAATAGGATCGGTCATGTTAAGCAAAAAGTGTATATGTACATGTGTCCTATTCGAACAGTTTCCGAGATAGGGCTGTTTCATTGTACAGGCGAGGAACACGCAATGTCCTCACACGAGTTGTGAAATGCATTGATGCTGACGGTGGAATTTTAAAAAATATATTATACTGGATAAACTGTACCAACTTTATCATTTGAACAATATGTACCGGTATTAGAAACAGTACGTAATATCTCTTTCTTTTCAATAGTTTTGGAACTGTAAATAGTGTAACCGATGATAACTTAGCGGCGTAAATTTCAGAAATTAATATTTGCTACTTAGTACCAATTCTATGTTAAATGTAACTTATGCCCATTCTTGCATTAACTGTTCTAAGAATTCGCAGTGAGGAATGTACAGATAAAGACTACTGGAAGATAATAGTCGGTGTGATATGTGAATGACTAACTCATCCTACTGCCACTCCGATAAGTGAATCTTCCAGAATGATCTGGAAAGATAGGGTTCTGGATGTTACGTCATCATACCGTATTTAAAAGATTGATCCGGGACAGCGAAGACAGATAAGTACAGACAAGTAATAGACAATACAGTAGCCGATCAGTTGAGCAACCAGTGAGTGAACAGGTATATTCGGTGAGACACGAGGCTGGGAGATTGACGTACTTCACCCACCGTACTGTAACGTAGTAAACATTAGTGTACAGCTAGTGCCAAAAGTGCAGCTGTAACAGCAAGCGACTGCTGCTTGTAATTGTGCAGTGCTGTCATTAATGCCGAATTGTGATCCAGAGACTTCTTCATCCAGAAAACCTCTCTCGTCCGAGCAAGGCCCGTTAAACCCTAACAGAGAATCTCATTGTTCGAACCCAGGACATTGTTATCCATTTACTCCAAAGGCGCCTCGACGTGGTTCACACACCACGTAACGTCCGTACCAACTACGAAGGTGCAGAAGGACGGCTGACGTGGTGACTACGCGAAGCCGCAACAAAGAACTGTTTTAATAGCTGTATCTCGGAAACCGTTCGGAATAGGACACATGTACACATACACGTACATTTTCTTTAGAACGACCGATATTATGACCTCCCGGAATACTGACCTCTCCTCCTGGAGCACTGTATGGAGCCCACACTAGCGCCACATTATATTCGGCCCTGAAATTATGTAGCCTGAGGTGAAGAAAGCTGGGAAACGTGCAATGTACCTTCATTTATTCCGGTGGCTGCATGAAATATGCATTTAACTTCCGGTTTGATAGCGGAAACTGGAGCTGGCCACGTGCAGTTAGATTTCGAAACAGAACATAAACATGCTTATACCTTCTGTATGTTATATTTTTCTAAGTCATCGGATAAAAATACGCCGAAGGTGCGAATCTCTGATGTTATGACGGGGAGTCCCACTACGGATTGCAAATTTCTAGTCTTGTTTGTCTTGTCTAGCAACCTACCGCTTGCTGCTGCAAATTTTGGTGTAGGTAACCAGTAAAATTCTTGGAAGCAGTTTTCGTCCCTGACAAAGGCGCCGATTTTCGTCGAAAAGGGATAAGAGGGGGAGATAGCGCTTACAGCGACCGTCAGAAACTCGTGCCATCTGTGTCTCGATATGCCTATTTCTGTTGCTAAATAATCGATTAGTTTCGTATGAGCCTGACGGTAACAAACAGTATGGGAGAAACAGCTAGCATATCACATTCGCTATGAAACTGTAAGAACATGTGCCTGTCTTCCAGAGACTTCACTTTAAAAACTGCTGTCGTTCTGAAGAGCACGGCTTTGTGACGCCGTGTAGCTCGTAGAGAGCACGACGACTCGGCTTGCTGCTTGCTTCTTCTGGCTTCTGCCTTCTATTGTTCTTCCAATCTGAAGACAGAAGCTACTTACTATGTTCTCCGAAACGTCCGTCTCTTTCCGAACTACACGCCCTTGGAACACAGAGGACCATATTTCTCTTAGTAACTGCGTGTTATCATTGCGTCTCCACTGCTGCAACACTAAGACTGAATATTTAGTTCTACAGTTA